CAACCTTTCTTTTTGAGAGAAACGGTTGTTAATATATTAAGAGACCGCCTCCGATCTCAACATATAGGAGTCCACTTTTTTTTCAGTTTGGCAGATATGGGACGGGAGATTGACAAAAACTTAACAGAATACTTGTTCAGTTTTTCTTACACGGAATTCTGTTACCCTATATTCGAATTTGACGTTTGTTGACTACGTAACAATAAAAAAGTGTCACTATCGTTGAGGTGGGTTAGGTCAATTTAAATATGGAAAGTAATAGCAAAGAACAATACAGCTGTTTGTTATAAATTGATATTTTGCCCTTTGTCTATGACGATCTGGTTTGGAACTGACGTTGTTTTGCTTCAATAATTAATTTTATATAAAATGCATAAAAGGTCGTATAATAAAGCAGTTACACAATAATATAAATTTTCGAAATTCAGCCTTATATTAAGATTTCAATTGACAATTTAACGAGTTAACTGCTTACTAAGCGATACTTTCAGAGGTCTGACGTAAGTAAACTTCCTAATGACTAAAGAAAAGAAACTTTGATAATTAATGTGAGTAGACAGACAACTGTTCGTTTTGCTATAATTCGCTAAGGAGGCGGACTAAGGTAAATATCGTGATTAACTTTAGACGTCCGTTACAAATTTGAATTGTTTCGTATAAGCGCTCCCCGTTAGTTTGTAGACTGTTCAGAGCAGACTTCATTGGTTTGATAAGTACAATACCTACGTTAAGCTACTAATTCCTAATGTCTGAATTATAACAGAGTCTTTGCGATCATGGTTTCGGATAGAAAGATATTTAGTGCGGAGAATAAATTTGTTTCATCACACTATTTCTGATTTTAAGAAAGTATACAAAAATTATTTGTGATATGTAGCTCCTGATTTACTAAATCGAAGTTATGGTTGACGTGACATGTAATATATATTTGTAGTATATTATATTGTATTGAAGAGACTTAGAATTCATTTACAATAATGAAGATTTACCCTAATGTCTTGTAATGTTTGCGCCTAAAGACATTTAGTAGCAACACCAACTTCGTTGATTGAATTGTTCTCACAGGAAATTAATTTACTGATAACAGATGTATATTTAACAGACCGTGAAGACATTCACACATTCTATCATTTTACACAGCACAAGGATAATTGTTACATATACTACTTGGTATAATCAATATGAAAACAATATCGGAACCACAAACTAATACTTTTTTTTCAGCTTAGATAATATATATAGAGGTATATTTGTAGTATAGACTGTAAAGTAATAACTTAACCCTTGTTACTCGAAGTTTGGACAAATTGCCATCGATTATATTGTTACTAAAGTACAATCAATATTTAAGCTGGCCAGTTTATACAATGCTCTCTTGTTATAACTTGTTGTGTTTGTGTTTTGCTTAATGTTAACATTGTATATCAAACGTAACAGACCCTAATCTACTAGTAAATATTACGTAGCGTAAACGCCTTTAATAATATTTCATATCATTATTAACTTTGTGTTTTAAATTAACTTTGTGATTTTGTTTTATGGTGGCTTTGAAAGGTGTATAACAATATTATAATGATGTTACATATTATCGTGGAGTTTAAGGCTTTATTAAACTGAATAACTCCTGGACGAAGTCGGGGTAGGTCATTTGTGATAAATATATATATATATATATATATATATATATATATATATATATATATATATATATATATATATATATATATATATATATATATATATATATATATATATGTATATATATATATATAATAAGCGACCAGACCTGCCATGAGTAAAGGAATTAAATAAAAAATATTAATTGAACACCCTATTACCGGTAAATTATGTCGGCAGCTTAGCATTAAGCTGCGCCGAAAGTCAAAGCGCTGATTTTCAGTGCTAACATTTATTTAGTTTATGTTTACACCTTAGTCTGCTATCTGGTGGGATAGCCGACTTATGGCTAATAGTAGGAATTGAAAATCGAAGCTATATTACACGAATCCTTTTACTGGAGTTCCGTTCCGGTCTACAATTTAATCCGGCATCACTATGTGAACCGTCTACATTCCCACAATTCGATACCGACGTCTAAGTAATGTCTAAACTGAAACGAAAAAGAAAACTGAACAGCGGTTGGTTTCCGTCCGTTGTTGCATTCGCCGGAGGAAGTCGTTTGCAGTTCCGTTCGCCCTCGTCCATTCCCGGGAAATTCCCGGCTGGGAACTTCGCGGGTCGACGAAAGAAATAATTCGTAGGAGTTTAACTCGGCTTTATTAGACTTCTGATTTGTTGCAACTTTAACTTTATCTTGCACCGCGGACCGGAACGATTTTGTTGCTTGTATTGTTACATAATTCCGAAAGAAGACGAAGTAGTACCTTGTTATAAAGGTTTCCGACATTTATTTTAGAATTACACGAAACAGTGCCTTGGTAACTTGTTTCTGTCTCGTCCCTTTGAGTAATTTTAACTTAATCGATTAATGAATAACTAAATCTTGATTGTTAAAATGGTTTTTTTAAAATAGCCTCCGGGACACTAAGTTTTTACTTCCTTGCACTTGTTTTTGTAATTTTCTTTTATTTTGTTTTATTAATAAATATTCTTGCATTCATAATTTCTTCTTTTATTGTATATTCACACACACTAATCGAGATCACCATGGTTGCCCAGTGGTAAAAAGGTTAATGATAAACGTAAAAATAAGGTTCATTTTCACTGTTAAAGAAATTGAAGCTTTAATGATAAGTAAGCCCAGTATCAGTAGCACACAGTCTGCTTCGGAAGAGCCGAAGCGGCTTTGTGGTGTATTAAGCTACGATTTAATTTGAAACCCTAACTCGGGTGGTATTTAGAGTAACGGTCTAATAAATCTGCTGCTTACCCAACGTCCGGCATTCGAATCCCGGCGGGCAAACAGGGATCTTATACATTAACTTGTTAGCTTGTCGTACATACATTGACTAATGGGTCTTACAATATTTTAATCATAAGATTACATGTGGTATGAAAATACATCAATTATTAAGACAACATTCTGCACTAGGCGATCTAGATTATCCAGAAACTTAAATGAAAGATAACACTAATTTACCGTATTTACAACGATATGATTGTATAATTATGTTTATAGGTCGAATAGGACAAATGCCTAATAATAATAAAAATTCTAATGCTATTTGATGACATTAGTCATTAGATCATTTTAATTTACCATAACTTCGTAAACATAATTATTGTCATGTTATTTGTTTCGGTTGAAAACTGACGTAACGTTTTCATTACATTATTGAATATGATGAAATTATGCGTTTGGTAGAACTAAACCAGTCTGTACTGCTGTTAAGGTTAAAATTTCACTCATAATTACTGTTAAAATTGATATTGAAGCGCTGTCAGGCAAGACAGTCACGTCTGTTCGTCTGAGGGGAACTAATCCGAACTATGATTAATTGAATTTGGAAGTGGTTCGTGCAATGCGAACATTGGCTTTGCCGAATCGGCTACTCCGGTCCCGAGGCGAGGCGATACAGCGGGCTAACTATAACTTTGAAATCTGTTGGACTTTGAAACTTCCGCACCTGTACAGCTTAAGAATTTGATAACGCGGTCTTGGATCTAATATAATATTGAAATTGTTGGCTTAGCGTTTATCGAACACTCAAGGAATAATTTAAAAAAAATGTGTGTATAGCGTAAGGATATTAATTGCATTTGATAACGGTTTATTTAAATAAAAGTGTGTGTTTACTTATGCACGCACGAAAGTTATACTTCTTTAGCGTAAGGACATTAATTGCAATTAATAATAGTTTATTTAAATAACTTGGAATTATTGGAACATGTCACTGGTTGCCAAGATTAAATTGGTTTCCACGCATCGTGTCGCTTTTTGAGCGTCGGTGTGAGAGCGAATCGTAAAATTTCACTCTTACAATTTTTCCATATGCGTCAAAAGAAGTATAACTTCAAAAAATATGAGATTCTACTTTAGAGCTTACAAAGAAAAGAAATCGTTAATAAGATCTGTTATTGCAAGTTTCATAGCAGTACATTTGACATTTTTATATATTACTAGCTGCTGCCCGCGACTACGTCTGCGTAGAGGGGTGAAAATTTAGTGTTGTATGTATTTTTGTATGCTGTATCATAAAAAAATAAAAGCAAAAAAAAATTTTGCCTAAAAAATAAAAAAAACTGGACTACTCTTAACATTTAGGGGGATGAAAAATAGATGTTGGCAATCCAAATCCGACAATCACGCTAAGGATCACAAAAATCGGTCGAGCCGTTTCGGAGGAGTTCAAGTTCGAACTCCGTGACATGAGAATTTTATATATTAGATTAAATGAGGTATGTGATACGAGGGTCGTATCTGCAACACTTCTCGAAATAAAACTGCAATTACAGAAAACAGTTCAAACATAAATTACGAGCTGTCAAGTGCACTCTATTCAGATCGTTAGGTATGGTGTGTAAGGTTCATTTAATTAATGGTTAACGTACACAGCCGAGGCTCCGGCAGTTTTGGCTATTCTAGTTTTAAACACGGGTCAGCCGCAAGTGGGAATTGTGCTTAAGTTTTTGATAGTTCGAGCGGCTTCGCTATTTACTGGTTAAGTTCGAGGGTCACTTGGCGAAAGTTGGGCCGGTCTCGAGGGAGAACAGTAAGTTATAGTGGATTATATTTTCAATACGCTTCAGTTTTACGTGTGTGCTTTATTTATATTACCAAACTATACAATAATAGCTTTTGTAGTATCTATGTGTTAGGGCACTTGTGAATTGAGTAAAATTTTATGCATCGTATTGGCAGTTTTATTTTTAAAAGTTTACAAGTTACATTTAATATACCTTATAATTTAAAATAACTTAATATACAACAGTCTTATATCTCATTCTTTTCAGTGCATTTGATTTCTTCTTGTTCTCCTGGTACGGATTGATTTGGTGATGGGCTCTCTGCGTATTTGTATTTGGTCTCAGCCAATTCAAACATCTCCATTTGCTCGCGTTTCTCCAAATGCGAGTTGTAGTAAGACGAGTTCTGTGCTTCGTTCAGCGCCTCCTCCTCGGCCCGGGTGACGGACTCGTAATATTTCCCTCTGCACCTTGAGCTGCAAATGTCTGGGCAGGTCGCGTGTCTTCTGGCACAGGCTCGAGAACAAATCCGTAAGGGCGTCCCGCATCGTTCTAGTCTCGTCGTACATCTGCCGTCTCAGTTCCTCCCTCTCCTTCTCTTTCAGATGTCTTCTCATTTCTCTCTCCACTTCGAGTGCGGGAATGTCGATGTTGCCGTCGCCGTCCTCGGTGGACAAGGTCGCTAGAGTTGCATCGGTATAGCTTTCGGCACAGAAATTCGCGTACGTCTCTCTGTTCTGCGGTAGAACAAACTCCATGAGTTTCTCGTATTTCCATGGACCGATACTTTGCGCTTGTATAGCTGTGGCAGCCTTTCTCCTCCTCATTGCTTCTCTGTGACTGTCTCGAAGACGTTTCCATTGATTTTTCGCTTCGGCAGCTGCAAATTTTTATATATTATTCAATATTTATAGGTTGTTTACTCTATGTAATTTTTATAGCTTTTGTAACAACAATGAGCAGTCATAATACATATATTCGAGTGAGATGAGTCGTGAGAGGTCCTCTGATATACTCTGTTCAAAAGAGGATTTGCCCAGCAATGGGATATATAATGTATAGGCTGTTACTAATCACTACTACTACTATAGTCGAACGGTAAACAAACAAAGCAAATGAAATCCGTAGGTATTTCTTCTTTAATCAGGTTTTGTTTTGCATTGTTTACCGTCCCAAATCTAGCGCCAATTGATCGCCGAACGCCTTTTACGTTTAAAGGCGGATTTAAAATTATTATTTAGTATTGATTTTTATAAATTTTAACATTAAAAATAAATTTGTTAAATTCATAAATTTATTAGAAAAGAGATAGAGTAAAAGTAAAGTAACAGCCTATACATGTCCCACTGCTGGGCAAAGGCCTCCTCTATACAGAGGGTATCAGGGCATAGTCCACCACGCGGCCCCACTGCGGATTGGCGGACTTCACATATTTTCGAAATATATTATTTCTGTTATTATTTCGAAAATGCGCAGGTTTCCTCACGATGTTTTCCTTCACCGCGGAGCATGTGATAAGTCAGCACTTAAAGTTAAAAACTTCATTGGTGCCGGCATCGGGGATCGAAGTCAGGTTGCTCGAGTATATTGAATTAAAGGCGAACGTCCGGACACTGAGCCATCACGGCTCTTATTTTGTAGATATATTTTGTTATATTTATCATAACTGACAATGTTTCCTAACAACAGAACTATTCAACAACATTACTTTTTTGTAATGTAAAATAGTAAAACATACATATTTATATGAGTAATTAACATCTATAAGTATACTTAATTTAGAATACTGTGTTCACTTATCGAAGCTCTGCTCTGCCAATGAAAACAAAACAGCATCGCACGTTGACAGCGAAATAGCAATAACAAAAACATCGTTCCGTCTCGCTCTTTGCACCCGAATAGCACTCACCGTTGATCATGCCGCACGTTTTCGCAACCAATTTCCATGCCAGGTCCTTCCGCGCTGCGTCTCTGTACGCGACGCCGTCCGTATCCCATAGGCAGGGGTGGTTCCTCACTTGCTCTATGAACATTTCCATGGCCGAAATAAAAATCCAGTGTAGACTTCGACCTCTTTCAATCGGTAAAAAAACAAACAGTACGCACTCGGTGGCGCGTGAGACGCGAATGTTCGGCGGGAGGGGAAACATGGCCGCCGTGTGCCAGTCACGCAACGTGCCTAGCTTCGCTGCGTTCGGGCACGGCCGTGCATGTGTTTGCCGCGCACACTGACACGCGTGTGCTCACGTGGCGTGGGCAGCTGTTCACGTGCCGATAATAAATCGGCCTGTTATTCGTGCGTAGCGTGTGCGTTAAACCCACGTCTCGTGTTTTTCCGAACCGCGGATGAGTTGTATATTATATAGAGAGTAGGATCAAAGTTACAGAATTCTTTTATAATTTTTGATGTCTGTTGTGTTCGTGGTTTTAATTGTGGATAAACACGAAGTTGATGAAGTTATCTATAAGCGAAGCCATTGATTGGACTATAAATATTTTTTTCTTGGAATTATTTTTATATATAAGCATCCATATAAATACAAAAATATTATGAGGTAGTAAAATATTTGAAGAATAAAAAGTTCGAAGCTTTTCACCAAGTTAGGGTTACGCATTAAATTAAGCTCCTGCTGGGCGGCTAAATTAAGTCTCGTCTGCAAAAGTTTCAAGGCCTGAGAAGCCCAGCGTGAAGTAGAAGTATACGTCTGCGATTCCTCCTGTAAGTGAGATCCGATATCACTATTGATGATACTGTTGGCGCTGTAGCTGAGCTATAAGCTTCAGCGGCGCGGGTCGTGGGTTCAAAAAATGTTCTTAAATCTATTATAACAAAAATTTATCAATTTGAGGCCAGAATCTAGAAGATGAATGAAATCTTAAAGATTGATTAAAATTGAGGTCCAAGAGAGGGATGGTATACAGTAATGGCACAACTTTTGCTTTTATTTCAAATAATATTACGACATCTACCATATTACGTGAAAAGTAATATTGTTTCTTGAAAAACATTCAATTTCTTCATAAATAGGTGCACAAAGTTTATAGGTACTTGAAATTAAAATTTTTCGTTTTGCTGTAACAATAATCTCTTTCTTTCGTCAGTATAAAGCGAAAACGGTAATTGCTTTCAAGAGAGATAAAGAAGTGAAGTTGCTAAAACATTTTAAATTTAATAATTGGAATTTAAAACAACATATTAAAAGTTCAAATTATAATTTATGATTATTTTTATTTCATTGCTAGTCTACACTCGATAGGTTTTATACTTAAAATGTGAATTTCTTCAAGATACATTGAAATTAATTAAAATGTTATTTGCGACACAAAATTATTTGGATTTCAAATATTCAAATTTCGAAGATTGTATTTAAATCAAAGAAGCGCCAAACATTTGATAACATCATAAAGTCAAACCGAATTTCGCGGCTTACAATCGCAGCGTGGTAAACTGCACTCTGCATTTTCCTAACGGCGCGTGCAGTTTGCAGCAACTGCGACCACGCGCCCGCAATCATTCATTCGCGTCGCGTTGTCGCGGCGGACCGTTGCGAGCCGTCGGCAACCGACGCCGGGGAACCCCCGTTGCATTCTAAGCGATTGATTGCGCGATGTTACCTTCACTAACGCTGAACGTTTGTTGCTAGTGCGGTGACTAAAATCGTGCTGGTGGCTTCTATTAAAGATAAATATTAATTTTTTCATTATTTTCTATTTCAATCAAGCGTCCTCGAGCCGTTTAAGCGGATAAGTAGAGGTATTTCACAAACACAGATAAAAAGTTGTGTAGAAACTCTCGTCTTACGAAAGATATATTTACGTAGAGCTTATTCAGTGTCAAAACCGGACAGGTGGTGATAAATATTCATTTTCATGATTCTATACACCGTGGCAGTGTAAAGTTTTCTTCCTGGTTAAAAATATGTCGAAGTCATTGATGAGCGCGACTAGGGTTTGAATCTGCGAACCTAAAATATTATTGACCATGTTGATTGTTTTGACCTAAAATATTATTGTATTTCTTGCTAAGGTGGCGACCCACACTAGATGTAGTGAACTTAACATCAGGCGAAACATCAGCTCGTTTGCCACATTCTCACATTAAAAAAAAGTCTGTGGGGGAGGCCTACGTTCAGCAGTCGACTTAAACAGGCTGAAATGATGATAGAGATTAATCATTTAACTACCAAAGCTCAATATCCAAAACTCACTATACTTAAACACGACTTGACCAAATATGGTGTTGATTGTTCACTGTTCAATATTACAACAATACAATTCATTAATTCGGGTGCATCTTCGATATTGAAACGTGTAATAGAGCGTAAAACGTAACAGACGTCTGATCGACCCTATTCACTTATGTCGTGCAGCTATCGCACATTAGCGTCATGAGTACGATGTGTTTGTTTAGGCCGCGTCCGGACGTTTATTGACACTTTAGCGTCGGTCGAAATCGTCGCGTATATAACGAGGCGAGCAAACGTTTTGCCTTTGTACCGCGACGTATCCGTCCGAATCGTGGAAACTGGCTTTTCTATTTGATGAGGCTTAATATAGTCTTCGGTGAAAAGCGTGACTTCAGATATGACAAGGTACACGGTACGACGACTTATCCGATTTTTGATACCACATTCCGGTGTCAAAAGTCAATCAAATTTTTCCAATATAGGTATAATAGATATATCAATAATTCGTTATACTAAATATTATATTTCATATATAATATAGATCTATATTAGATAGTTTAGGTTTCATAATTATGAACAGTAAGTGTACCCAAATTTGGAACAAAATTTTCCATCTCGTGTTTATCTATTAACAACTACGAGTGTGTGTCTACGTTAGTGTTCAAATTGATCGTCTTGTTTATTAAAAGACATAAACACAACACACAAATATCCATACAACAGACATGATTTTTTTTCTTTTTTTTTTGTAGTTTTATTAGATAATAGAATGGAACCCTTCGTGTGCGAGTCCGACTCGCACTTGGCTGGTTTTAGATGTAGCAGAAAATTCCTGTGAAAAAAATATCAAGATTTATATATTCTGTTAGGTTTTGTACTTACTCTAAAATAGATGTAATATCCTCGATTAGTTATGCTTATTAATATATAGACGAAAATGAATACTATCGGCTTGAGTTTACATTTATTGATAAACCTTAATATAAGTTAATCGAAATTTTGGTTATTACATCTAAGATTTATCAGAATATAATTTTTGCAATGATTAAAAGTAAATACCTTTTTCGCCTGACACGAATTTTTGGCTTTGTGATGAATTCTGTAATGATACTTGTCTTTGTCTTCTATCAAGAAAAACATACTTTTTTTAATTTCAGATAGAGAGTATCGTTAGATTAATGCTTTATTCTCAAAAGAAATAAATTTACTGGCGATGTGCGGATGTTTATCTTTAACCCTTATACGCAATATAATTTGAATAAATTCAAAATATGAATTTACCCAAAGATTAACATCTCCTAAAATAACAACTTTATAAAATAAAATTAATATGTTGTTTTAATTCTATTTTGTCAAAATAAAATCTGTTTCATCTTTTTCATTCCATTTACGCTTAGGCACGTTTAAGGACAGTCATATAAAAAAGTTTTGAAATTTAATAATAATAATAATTTGTTTCTTTAGATTTCAAAGATTTTTTGAAGTTATGTCATTTATTAAATTGATTTACTTTTAATATGTATGATTACGTAAACATTATTAAAAAAGAATTTTTCTTTAACCTAATAAATTGAAGTTATAACTCAATAATTAAATAATTTGAAGAATTTAATAGATCTATGATAGATCACAGACCATTAGAGTTTTACCTATAGTTAATTTAAGCATTCAGATATCAATAATCGTAACTATGTATTAAATATTCAAAAAAATAAAATTATGAAATCGAAAATTTTATTAAAAAAAATACAGACAAAACAGTTTTCCAATCGGAAGTACAGGCGAGCGCGACAGTACTGAGTCAGCGTATGACCGACGGTAACAAATTCAGTCGGTGGTCGCAAACGCATGTTGTTTTAGGCCGTGTACAAACATGGTGCATCGTGACCGGTGCTAATACGGTGTTTGCGCACGGTATTTATAGTACGGCCACGCTCGACGTGCTCACACGCCGGAATAATTAGCTCGTTAAAAAACACATGACTTTATGTTTTCTTTATGAAATTCGCTCGCCCGACACGTTTCTGAATTTCGAATGTGCTTCGCTTCGTTTCGCGGGTGACGCAATTCGATTATTCATACTTCCAACACGTATGAAGTCCCGATTGGGAATATGACATTCGTTAAGCGATCTTTCGTACAGGATTTTAGATCGCAGGTGGCATTGTCAACCGTGAAATTTGTTACGAGAAGTAAAAGAATAAAGACGTCACACAAGCTAGTCTACGATACCATGTTACTACTCAGTATCATCATCATCATAATTTCAGCCCATTAGGGTCCACTCCTGAACATAGACTGTCACGAAATGATTCTGAGCCACCCGCATCCATCGACTCTTCGAACATTTGTACAGGTTGTCATTTCATCTAGTGGGGGTTCGTCCTACACTTCGATGGCCAGTATATACTAGTAAGCCTATTTATGTTTCTTGCAATATTAGCACAATTTTTTCCCTTTAGAGAATATTTAAGCTAATTTATTTATTTATTTATTTATTGCACATCCATTAAGTAACAAAAGGTGTTAGGGTAATTAGTAAAATAGTTCTTTATGGACCCTGTATATAAGGCATAGTACAAAACAAATCATAACAAATTCAAAACAATTGCAACATTTGAGATGAAATTTAAAACAATTGAAACAAATTATCGATATATTGATAAGATTAGAGGAATTTGCAAAGCATTGCTATTTACAAATCCCACGTAATTTGATATACGACATGCTATTTTTATTTTCCAAAATAATTTTACGTTGCATTCATCGTAAAAATATTATTTTCTGTCTTCTGCATACTGTACGGCACATTATTAATCTCAGCCTTAAGAAACGGAGCTATAGTTTTTTCG